AAGCTAAGCAGCTGTACCAGCAGCTAGTTGGTAGCTGCTGCTGAAGGCTGAGGGATCTGTGAAAGTGGCTGCCAGTCGCTAGGTGTTCATATCAGTTATCCTGATGGATCAAATTCTCTGCCAAGTTGAGTCACAAGCCCGATCTCATGCACGGATCATGCTTTAATTCCTCGATCTCCTTACACTCACTTGACCAAACTGTACAAATGCAATCTGTAAATCATGCTGTGATGCATTCCTATAGCCAGCAATAGTCTATCTGAGCCCTGGTTCCTCCTAAGCCAGTGACCCATCAAATTCAATGAAGACATTCACACGTTTGTTTCAGCACCTTGCTGGTCTTAATTTATGTGCCTCAGTCTGTGTATGTTGCTCATCTGATTCTAGCTTACTGAGCAAAGCTATGAATACTAAGAGTATTACCTGTCCCAGTCTGAATCCTTTTACATACTTGCATGCAGCTTACTTTGTCATCTGACATCACTTATTTCCATATCTTTGCAACAGGCAATGTAAACATTCATTAATCTGTTCACAGCCTCAGTTTTCCTCTGATCCTGCACATTAGCTTTCTTTCCTGCCCCCTGCCATTCTCTTGCAGAGCTCTTCCACCAACTTTTCTATTCCCAACATCCTTACTTCTGAGAAAGTGGTGCGAAACAGAGAAACACACGTACCATCAGTGTTTAACCTGTTACTACTGTCTGTGCCTAGGTTTTACAGCTTACCTTGGAGAAATACAAGCCACCTGGAAAGCTCCAAGAAGCCTTTCCAATGCAGAGAGAAGAGAGTGGAATGCAGAGGTCTCCCTGTGCTCAGGCTGCCCCAACAAGCAGCAGTGCAGGCAACATGCAGAACTGGCTTCAGCTACCCCACCTTCCTTTCCAGGAGGCTTCACCTGAAGAAAGCAGCCTCATAAAAGACTCTGAAAAGGTCTAAGCAATGTGATGTGGTTAAGGCCTCTTATAAGCAGGGCATAATGCCCCTAGTGCTCAGCTGTTTTGAGCACTTAGGTAAGCCCTTCTTGCATTATACAGCTGTGTTACACGATGAAGAAAAAAAGAACCAGCTGGAAAGGACCCTCTGCTTATGAGCTTTGCTCTTCTGGAAGACTCAGGCAGGCTCCCACAGCACAGGTCAAGGCAAGGCAGTTTGGCCTGCTCCTTCAAGCTCCGTGAATAATTAGTAGAATTTGCCAGAGAAAAAAAATATGCGTGGGACTAGCTGGAATAAGAGAGAACAACATATAATAGCCAAGCACTTCCTTAATAAAGGCTTTCACCAAATGAACACTTCAGACTCCCAAAAGACACCTTCAAGTGTCTGTATCTTACTAGGCACTGGCATTTCAACATTTACTGCAGTCAAGCTGCTATATTGCAAGCATGAGTCAATGCCTGCATCTTCTGGCTCCAGAAGAAAAGGACTGTTCTAATTTTTATTTATAAGCTGGGCAAGTGGAGAGAGAGGCATTCAGTTACAGGCAAAGCACACTCTGCTCCATGAGGCTGGGTAGGCTGGTTAATACATGGGCTTATTCGTGCCATAGCATACTGAGTCACAAGTACCACAACCCACCTCGGCAGCCTTTCATGTAAGGCCTCAGAAGAGGGCTTTGTAAATCATTTTTGTTGCCTTTCAGCACAAAGCCCATGACCTCCACATTATTCGCTACAGAGACTTCCAGGTCCGTACAGAATATGTTACGATCCAAACTGGGAGTTTCTGGCAAGAAGTGCCTGTGAATATGCACACAATATAAAACAGGAAGAAGGATTTCAGTTTATCTGTGCTCACTTAGGCTTGTTTGTTGCTTGGAAGAAAAGCTGGCAGGCTTCCCACTGCTATGCAATAGTCTAGGAAGGCTGCTGTCACCTGGGGTCTCGCATGCTGATGTGTGAGTGAAGAGAGCAATAGCCAGGATTCACAGGGTTTTCAGCATGATCCTAATAACGTCTGTCATGCTACTAGTGTTAAGACAGGAGTGCTGAACAGAAACTGTCTTAAGAACTACTGACAGCTTCTTTCCAAAAGCTAAAAAATGTCACTTTCATGAGCTATTCCTTTATGCCAGAGCAGGAACGGATTTCCAAAAGTTTGGATCTGGGTTTATGCAGCATTTACCAGCCTCTTAAATTTATTCTGCACTCAAATCCAGCTTTCTTGGTAAAGGATGATAATACTAGCTTATATGAAATACCCCATCATCTTACTTCCCACACAAAGCTTTAGCCTGAGGATTTCCCGGGCAGACACAGTTCATCCAAAGCAATTGAAGGTAGCTGGGGGGTCATGGGATCAAGTCACATATGCATTTCCTTTCTTCTCTGGCATCCCTCCGGTTAAGCTTGTGCTCCTGAATTGCTCTTTTGCAATAGGGTAAACAAGTAAATGTTTCGGGCTCAAGAGATATCTCGTTTCTATAGAAGCAAGTTTATTTTGCCTTTTTCTGTCTGTCTTTAGCATCCTACAGGAAAGAAAAATAGAATACCTCAAAACTGCAGGTTTTGAGAAAGAAAAAAACCAGCACCATTTGTCATTCACGTATAAAATTTCCAACTACCACTGTCTCTTGATGAAAAGAGAACAAACCCTGCCCTCCTTTTTCACAGCTGACAAAACAGGTATAGATTAAGTGATCACCAAGCACGATTTACTATGTTAGCAGCACAAGCAGTAACATAACCCTGGACTTCCAATCCTGGTGCTTCAGCTTCTGGGCCAGTGCTCTTCCCATTTGAATTACTAGGTTTTGTGAGTTCCTGGGATTTGTTCATCTCCTTCTACAATAACAATCAGTACGTTCTGAGTCTCTAAAACTTAAGAAAAATGGATAAAATTAGTACTTTTCATTAATACCTTTGCCATTGGTATTGGAAAGAGAAGACAGTAGATACAAACATCAGCAGCTAAACTTTTATTGCACTCTCCGCTTCTGAAGTCTATTCAAGAATAGGACAGTGGGACAAAAATAATTACAGGGGTCTTTCCACACAAAAGAGCCAGCTATTTAGAGGCAGGCAAAGTCATTTGAATGTCAATGAAATAACCATTAAAAGGCTGAGAAGCACTGCCATTTATTAAAAGATCTAAAGAATAGTTGCATGCACTATAGCAATCTTCTAGGTAGGAGTTGTTAATTTGGTATAAAAACCTATTACGGACAGGGCAGAGCATAATTAAACAGGAGACAATACACACTGTGAAAAGGAAACTGGATTTGGAATTTTACAGCCTCTTATTTCATGTTTCTACATGAAATACTATGCTCTATAATCTGTCCTTAATAACACCTATGTATTTCCAGCTCCCACAGTGTTTTGCCTTTCGTTTCTAGCAGTGGTCTCCTGCAGCCTAGGGAGCAAGGTAAAACAAGGTTACGCACTTGAATGCTCTCCCGCTCTTTCCAGCCTCACGGCAATCCTTCTTCCGAGAAAGCCTCTCATCAATGCCACTCCTTAATTGGCCCGAGAGCCCCTCTTTAGACAAAGCTCTCGTCTCCCACAGGGCCAAGCTCTTTCTGCTATTCTGGCAGAGCTAAATCCAGACAAGGATGTGCCATTTACCACTGCAAGCATACTACGAATTCAAACACACAGGGAAGAAGCAAGGTACTTCCAGGAAAAGTTGTTGGTGTTCTGCAGGTAGAGATTTACAGGTAGCGTAGACTGCATTTGGAGAAAAACTATCCATGTGCCAGCCTGTTGGGTTGTTACTTAAAAAAAAAAGTGTAAGACATCAGTAGTACAGCTCAGTAGCAAATACAGGATCTACAGGAGCCCTTGGGTAGATTCTGCTCTAATGCACTAAATGTGAGCTGAATCAGACTGTTAGGCACAAAACTTCGCTACAGAGCTATAGGACAGATAAAGATTTCATGGGATTCTGCATTTTTAAATATGATTGCTTTTTAATATCAGTACAAATCAGTAGTAGTATTCAGGTGCAGAGCAGCTTTAACCTCCTTTACAGCAGTAACCCGAGTGCGTTCGCTGTCTGCCCACACACTGCCAGGTGAGCAAAAGTGACATGCAAAATGAATCCCATGTTTTCCTTCCCTTGACTGTTACTCTGAGGCACTGCGGTTCTTTGTGTGCTCAGCCAGTGTAACCCAGCATGCCATAGTATTTGAGAAAAAAGTAAATACAAATGCCCACAGCAGGACTAAGTAGCAATTGTTTGACATCTCCCGTGATACCCAGAGGCACAGAATTCTCCACTGATATATATCAGACAATCATGTAGTTTAAAATACTTTGTTCTTTCTCCTTTATTTAGCCACAACACAAATACAAGAGCAGTCAAACCCCGTCCAGTGGAACTCACTAGATAACCTGTTCAGATTAAGATTCTTATGAAATCAACCAAAATATAGATGTACATGCACACACACTCATGCACGCAAGAATGCAGCAGAGCCCTTACAAAATGAGGGGTGGCACTGAACTGCACCTAAAAGCAAAACACCACAGAAAAATCAATGGGTTAGGATGTATCTGTTAAGTAAGAAGGCTGTGCACTGAACAGGTTCTTGCTGTACCACTCCATTGGCTATTTAAATACCAGCATCATTTGTTTCAGGTGCATGTCTGAAATCTGATCTCAGTCACCCAAGAATACAGGGCAATGGAACAGTTACTCCACTGTAACTCAAAGCAGAATCTGACCCTATGAAATGAATACACATATGCCCAGCTCTGGCTGGAAGACTACTGCAGGTGACATCTTTCCTCCCTCTCCCGCTTCACTTCCCTGGCAACCAAACCCAGCACCAACACAGCATGTAATTTGGCTTGTGCACCCTCCCCACTCCGGAGTTTGCTCATACTGCTCCTTTTAGTGGAAGAAATAATGGTACAGATGTGAGTAACTGTCCACTAGGGAATAGAGTAAGACCAAACCACTGCAGAAGAAACAGAAATTGAGCTCTTAGATAAAAGCAGGTCAAGCTGGTCCAAATGATTTGTCAACGCTCTGTTCAGAAATATAAGACTCAAATATAGTTTACAAAAAGAGTAATTCTTTATAGAACATCTCAATGTCAAAACACTAACAAAAACACAGCTCGTTAGCACTGAGAAGAGTGGTCTTGGAAAAATTAACAACTAAACTAGGCTGCTGCTAACAATAATAGGTGATAGGTCTTCATAAAAAGGCAGTCTGACGTACTCAGGAAAAACGAAACATTGGAAACAAATTGTTTACAAAAGTGATTTAAATGCTCAGCACAGATCTAACACAAGTGTTAACAACCACTATTGTAATTTTATTTTTGGACAACTTCAGCAACTATTCAAAAAAAAAAAAAATCCAAACAAAATAGCTTGCTAATACAAAAATGTAACAGAAAAAAAAAGAAAAATCCAAAGAGACAGTTTTTAGACAAACTTAGTTAAGGTGAAGCTGTACCTTTGACCCAGTTATTAAGAACTTCAACTTTAAGTGTAGCATAACCCAGCTCAGCTAGGCTTGTAGGCTTCCCCACCCTCACTAAAGAGTTAGTTCTTAGAAGGCTCCGATCTCAGTCCCCCAGGGTCTGTATGGTTTGCTAAGAGCTGCTGACTGCGTTGGTGTAGACGAGCTCAACACGTTGGGGGACAGCAGATGGAAGGAGCCAAACGAAAAAGGGAACGCAGACAGAGATGCCATGGAGGAAAGGAGAGGAGGAGACAGTTTGGTGGTAGATGTGACCACAGGCAGCACTGGTCCAACGCTGCCATTTGGGGGCACTCTGAGTGAGGAAGTTTCAGCATGTGGGGCAGCAATTCTGGTCTGGTGATGTGGTTCTGTGGAAGATGCTGTAGTACTGGTATTACCGTGCCCATTTTGAGCCAGCAGCAACGGGTGGGATATGTGAGGGTGATGTCCAAAGGCACTGCCCCAAGGAATGTGTCCAATGCCGGTGTGTGCACTACTTGCTGCTTCCCGCTGAGAGGCGTAGTTGTTGAGATGAGACACGAGGCGAACTCGCAGAGGATCAGAGGCGTCCAGACCCTCTATAATACTCAGGTATCGAGCAACTTCAGCCAGGCACTCTCGAAAGCCCAGACTCCGATAGTCCATAGCCAAAGCATGAGCATCGAAATAACCTAAGAGAACAAAGAATGGAGTCTCAAGATGCTGTTTTCTAGTCGCTGTCTGCATGCAGCCTCCCCACTCCACCCTCCCCTATAAGCATATTTCACTTGGATGTGGTTAGTATTCCCAACCATAGATTAGCTGCCAAGCTCCTTTTTTTTTTCTCTTCTTTTTTTCCATCTAACAAGCTTTTCTTTTATATCTGTGCTGTGATGCTGCAAGTCCCAAGACCAGTCACAGACTGCCATTTTCAAACTGGAAATGCACTCTGCCAGTGGAGGAAAGCACTTTTGTTCTTTCCATGTCTCTCCCAGTGCAAGCAAAACCACAATGCAGTGAAATTCATTAGAAACAGAAGTCCTAACTTATCAGAGGGGACCTTAGGCAGGCACCATACCTCTTCCCTAAAAGTGCATTTTACCATTTTTGCCAATTCTTTTCACTACTTATTTCAGCCTGTATTTCTTTCAAGTTTCTGCTCTGAACTTTCTAAAAGTTAGAGAAACAAGCATATGACAACAATAAAAACTCTGAGTTTTCCAAGTTGCCAAAAGCCTTCCAGCATCATTGACACATAGCTAGAGACTTGTAGTCTCTCCCCTAGGACAACCTGGAGCTCGCCCTGTAAAACACTTCAGTGCTAGTGATGCCATTAATCTTGTCAAGTAGAAGAAAGTCCCAAATTCCTGATGAAACCTGCGAGTTTACACTCACTTTCTCCAAGCACTCCCACAGCACGCCGCACCCCCATGCTGCGGAACGCACTCCTCTCACGGCAGCCTCTCTGCAGAGCTGCTCACCTACTGTCAGGCACGAAACTTTACCTTTCCCTCCTGCTGTATGCAGCATTTTCAGGTGATCAACAGTCATCTGCAGAATCTCTGCTTTCTCCAGCTTGGCTGATCCCTAGGAGATAAGGGGAAGCACGACGGGTTTTAGGCAGAACCGGAGACGCTAAAGAGGGGTGACCCTTCCTCCCGGGGACAGCAGGGAGGCAGAGCGGAGGGTCACAGGGCGCTACCTGCTTCTCAAAGGCGCTGGGCACCAGCCTCCTCAGCTCGGACAGGCTATTGTTGATGCGATCGCGGCGGCGCTTCTCGATGATCTAGGGCAGAAAGCGAGGGGTCAGGGGCGGGCGGCCGGGGCTGAGGG